TGGGCGTATTTCATCGATGCCAGAGATCGCAATGAAATCACTCGTTATTACAGCAGTGTGGGATGGCGCATTGTCATGATGTAAATCCCCCCCCCCCCCCAAATCCTCTTTCTTCTGTTTTCCAACAAAATTTTCAAGACTTTTGGTAAGCACTCTTCGGCGGCCCCTTTTGCAGTTACCGTCTGACCCTTTACCAGTGGAATAGCAGCTACAATTTTAGATCGGTTGATTTAAACTGACATCATTACTTTTGATGCTGATTTTTGTTGTGGGGCTCCATACCATGGACTGCTGTTCGGTTTCTGGATCGTACTTATAGCGCCAAGTTTCCTCACCGGTAACGATTTATTAAAGTTGCTAGATTGACCTTTTTCGGATTTGTTTAAGAAAACTTGAGCAAAATGTACTCGAGCCTCTTTTTGGCCTCATTTGAAATACGTAGTATCCATCGAGCAGATTTCTTTATGTATACCAGAAGATTATTAAAAATTCCCGGTATACCATAGAGTCGTGGAGTTCAAGCCCAATTTATTAGCAAAGATTTCTTGTGTCAATCGTGGGTTTCGACTTTAGCTAAAGTGACGTCATCAGTGAAAGAATTTGGGCGACCTTCTGGAGACTCTTCCTTTACGGAAAAATGTCCGTTTTGGAATTTTCGAAATCACTTACAAATAGTTTTTAAAGACGATGCAATAGTTCTGTAAGCTACTTAGCGTTCACTGAATATTTGTATTGGCTGTAAATTACGCCGAAACCCGAAGAGAATCACATGGCCAACTTCTGTTTGCATTGGTGGTGGAATTTCATCTGACCTATCCTCAGCTTTCTTTCGTTTTCTCCTCTCCGTTTTAGCCGATCGGTTTAAAATTTGGAAGGAATACTCATTCAAATTTCTATGATAATTACTATGTTAGTATGTATGCATGTTTTGACCAAATCAAATTGTATTCGAAACTAAAATCTATGTCCGAATGACATTACCGTATATACCCCACAATATAAACCAATCAAGGTACTCCATGGAGTAGTTTTTGGATTAGTTTCATAACTAGCTTCATATTTATATCCGATGGATTACTCGCATGTAATGCAGAAAAAGAGTAAAGACAAGGCCGCGGTAGCCGAAGTGGACTAATCATCGATCTATTTCAAAAGTCGTATTTATACGATTAGTTTAATTTACATGAATTTCATCAATTTTCTGAGAGTGCGACAGCCGCCGATGTTTTTGAGAAAATACTTTTTATTGCCTGATTAACAAGAATTTTTGAACATATCAGTATTTTTTCTGCACTGGAAGTAGGATGGATCGACTCGAAATCACTCCTCCACTTCTCAAATGTGTGACCCAATTTACCATTTTCAGTTTTGTTTGTCAAAATTTCTGTATTATTTCAACAAACTTTTCATTTTGCATAAACCAATTTATAAGAAAACTTAAAAATAAATTGTGTGAAAAAGAAATAAGCTTAAAATCCTCTAGCTTATGCTCGTGACTTATCGAACAATGAGCAATGAACGAGAGTGCGAGAGCGCGAGTACTCGTTGTTCAAATCCTCGAGTTGCCCTAAAACGTTCGAACAAAATCTTGAGCTTCGCTAAATACCGATTTATTTGAAATAAAATTATTTGTGGTTGAACATTTGTCAGATAGAATTATTCCCCTTTACAAACATTCCCGGAAATGAACCAGGAAGCAAGTTCAATTGGCTTAAAATTTAATTCGTAATTTTTTGAAAACTAGAGATATTATTTATCACTTTATATGCTAAACAAGACCTCATATGCGATACCAAGAACAGATTATGGTGCCATTTTTTCATGGATTAAGCAGAGCACTCTTTTCTCTCTTTCACTACTGCGACGATATATAAGTCCCAGAGAATGTTCAAAATTATGTATGGATGTTCCTTAATTTATATACCGGACATTTAGTTCAATTATACAAAAATATCTTTACTAACCAAAAGTCGTATTGAAAGTGTTAAGTTCCGCTGTATTTGAAAAGCTAAACTGGCAAGATATCCCCTCTCGCTATTTTCTTACTCTTCAAACAGACTTTTGCTATTTGAACTACGTCGCAATCGGGTACTGGAACTACTTTTCAATCATCATCGACTGGGGATTCGGGTGTTGCCTCCTTAATCTCGGCTTGGTCTGGATACCTCCTTGGTTTCTACATAAGTATGCTCCGGTCTTGAAACCTACTATAAGTCGCTGTGCCTTTGCAGAGAATTTTCAAGGAGTACTTCTGTCGGCCAGTAACTCAATCTCTTCAGACTCACGCATATCGACCTCTTCTTCAACTTTCGGTATCTAGGTCGATTGCAATATTGTAAGGTACGCAGTCTACTTTTTCTCCACTGCAGCTAAAAATATCTCATCGCACTTTTTCGGACATTGCCGGAAACCAATTGTTTATGTAGAGCCAGAACGTACCAAGCTATAATTTGTATGGAAAAAGTGTCGTCCGAGAGGTAATGTGAAATGTCGAAAACAAGCTAGTTGGTAAATAACGAGTCCACTACAGCGTTAAGCACAGACAAATCATGTTTTAGTGAGTTGTAAATTCCTCAATCCATCAATAGATCCACATCTTAAGAATCTCGTCGTACTTTGCGCAGAATGATGTTCTTCCAATGGTTGTTGGAACCGATACGAGTCCCGACTTCAATTTAAATTAAGAAACGATTTATCACTATGTAACTGAGAGGCTAAACACATTTTCGTTGTCTCTTCCAAAAAAGAAAGTCCTTAGAATTCATAACTTTAATTTCAAAATCTTTCTCTGACTAGATCAGAAACTGACATGGGATCCTTCTCTGATCATCTATATACATATATAATATATATCTTTTAATCTAACAATGGGAACACCATTGGACGACCTTTAGAAGAGTACTGGCGGTGCCATTTAGCACAAGATATGTATCAGTGATCTTGACTTATCGTCGAAAATCACCAAAATCTGTAAAGCCGCTTTTGAGGCCTTTCATTTGGCTAATGAAAAGTAGCTGAAAACTTTTTAACGTAGCCAAGAGAACGTGCTCCTAGCGCAATAGAAAATCTTCTACATTTTTAGGAAACTTCTTTCCAAGAGATGCGCTATTCCAAGTTTCTTACGGAAACCATATGGAGAATGGATTACATTCCGTGATGAAATGCTCGATATCCTTATGAAAAACCATTCTCTGCGGTATTGAGCAGACCACGACTAACTTCCACGCAAGGAAAGTGTATGTATTTTTGGTATTAGCATTCCAACCCTTTAAGTCACCAGGATTATATTGTAGCTCCCCCGCTTTAATAAAGAACGTTTTTCTCAATTTCTATGTAAAATTTTGGAAGCCTATCTGCGTGAGGGGTATATCCCCAGCTCGGACAAGGGCTAAAGTAGTCTTAATCCCAAAAGAAGGCAGAGCCACTCATGTCAGTCCAAAGGAGTTACGGCCCATCAGTCTTACCTCTTTCGTCTCTAAAGTGATCAGAAGTCTGCTTGGCAGCTATATACAGTTTCTCGAGAAACAACACGCTTACTCTAAAAGCAAGTCTTGCTTTGAAAAACTGAAATCTTGGCATCATCTTCGACATAGAAGGAGCCCTGAATTCGCAATGGAGGTTCCTCGGCAAATTGGTTTCCAACAGCCCATAGTGAATCTTTTGGAATCTCTTCTACGCGATCATTTTCACTAAAGTGACGAATAAGCCGCTTCAAATCTCTTTGCCATAACAATCCCAAACAGAAATAAATGGAAAAACACGAACGCCCTTGATCAGGGAGCTATAAGCAGTTTTACGGAAATGCTGCATGAAAAAGTGGATTCCATTCTTCAATGCTCTCAATAAGTCTGGTTACCCGAACGCAGTGACATCTGAGGCAATTGCATGCAGTCGAGATAGTGAGAGAAGTAACCCACCTATCCACAATAAAACTTGCACATGATGCAGGTTTGCCTTGGTCCATGGCAAAGTATATGCTAAAACTGGCTCTTTCCGAATAAGCAGACGCAGAAGACAAAATCGGACGCGAAAAAATCAAAATATCTTATTACTTTAGGCTGGGTTACCTCTTTAATGAGTCTTAGCGCAGCGGTAGGGATGGAGAAGAACACTACCTCTGTAAATGTTGAATTTGACATTTTCTCCGAGACAATTTCCTCTGAAAAAACTTCTTCAACTGTCTCATTGAGCGAACTTTAGAGGGAGTCCACAGTCTACGCCATTTACCGTAAAATATACCTCCTGAGTGTAGTATATCAGGCCCTATCGAGCGACATACGAAAACAAACAAATCTGTTAGCTCTGTATTTTCCAAGCTTGATGAAGAGGCGACGCGAATGGATTTGGTTGTCAACGAAGACATAACGAAATATCTACTGTCATCAAACAAACAGTCACTGCTCTTACGGCTAGACTTCCCCGTCATTGTTGATAGTCATAACTACGAGGTCGTGCATGATTTTGTCTACCAAAAAATGTGAGCCTTGAAATCGAACGCAGAATTTCCCTTGCTAGCGGCCGTTACTTTAGACTGACTATGCAATTCGCCCGCTCATCATTTCTCTCTTACGAAGACGATATCGAAATCCGGAAGTGCAAGCGGCCAGTGAAAAGGAAGAAAACAGCAGCCTCACTGAGGTATCACAATGGGCTTATTGGTCCTAGTGCGTTAGTCTATGGTCAACAGCCACATCAACGTAACGTCGGATAAAATTATCTCGTACTTTTAGAAGACAGCAAAATTTGGGAAGGTCAGAGGACTGCAATTTATAAAATCTTAATTTCTAATACAACAAATTGTGTTGTAATAAGTGCTAATTACACTACTTTTGTCTCGTCATCTTTATCGTCTCTGTCTGGGATAATATCTGAACCCCGAAAATGACAGAACTTTTATGAAATTTTTAAAAGAAACCTGTTTTGGCTGCACAGATTCTACATAAATGAAGACAATTAAACACAGTGATAATTTCTATTTAAATACTTTAACATCCGTTCGCTTTAATAATAAATATGGTAAATCCATAACAATTTCAACAATTTTAACAAATCAGTCATTCAATCAATATAACAAAAGCTCCCTGACCATTAACCAATCTTAAATGCGAATGATGGAAGAGGGCAAGTAAGAGTTGCGAGGAGCGTTCACTTGTGGTGCAGCAACTGGAGCTTGAGAGGCAAAGTTGTGTACTGGAGCAACACCACCATCATGAGCTTGAGAGTTACCACCCAATTGATCGTATTGAGATTGGATAGCACGCTGGGCGTTGGCGGCATCTTCAGGGGTACGGTATTTGACGAAATGTACTTCGGGTTTGTGGCTGTTCTGGCCTTGGATAGAGTTGAGTTTCTTAGCCAAATCGCCAATATCGCTTTGTTTCTGCAAGACATAGATGGCGGTGCGGTCTTCGGCAGCATGTTTAGCCAATTGGAGAGCAGCGTTCTCGAGTCCACGGTTTTCAGGTCCCTTGATGAAGATGACACGAAGATTCTTTTTCAGAGAGTTGGCAACTTGTTGGCCGGCATCACCATCATCGAATTCTTCCTCGGGGGCAGTATATGTGAAGAATTCTTTGTTGAATTCAGCTGGTGCTGAGTAAGAAGGTCCAACATTACCGGAGTTGCCAATATCGCTTGAGCCACCAAGACCTCCAAGACCACCATCTGAGCCGCCAAGACCGCTACCGCCGAGTCCACCAAGACCGCTACCGCCGAGTCCACCAAGACCGCTGCCACTGCCGCCCAAACCTCCAAGACCACCACTTCCACCCAAACCTCCAAGACCACCACTGCCTCCTAATCCTCCAAGGCCTCCACTGCCGCCTAGTCCACCAAGACTTCCTGAAGAACCGCCTGGCTGGAAGGAAAGTCCAGAGTCCGAGTGACCCACTGGGCGGTAGTTGTAGCCCAATTTATCGGCATAAGCTACAGCCACTAAGCACAGGACCTGCGAAAAATGAAAAGGATAAATTCGACTGCGACGCTCCAAACTGTATTAATGTGAATACTTACAACGAAGGCACGCATTTTTGTTTTGAGCTGGTAGTTCTTTTGCTCTGAGGAATGATTTGTTTCTGTTTCTGATAAACGTGAAGCGTGCTATATATAGCGCGCCTGGGTTAGTTGCTGGCAAATAGAAAACCGTTATTTTGTTTAAGAATCTACAAATTTGACGAATATTACTAATATTAAATATATGTATGTATATGTATGTATGTGCCCACGACGAACAGAATGACTGTTGAGAGAAACTGACAAAAGATTATTTTTCGAAGAAGATGAGAGATTCTTCGCTAAAAATTTTTTAAGACCATCACAATATGCATATGACTACATTTCTCAAGTTCTTTCGTTTCTATTAATTTCGATATTTCTTATGCAATTATGACCAAATGTGAGTCAAACACATCGGCCTTTTGAGCCCATTCTTCGATATTTGTTTGTGTATCAAATATTAAATGAATCATTATCATCGTTTGCGTCAAAGCCAGCTGTATTCAAATCGTCGCTGCGGGTGGTTAATCCAACATGGAAGATTTTAAGAGGCAGATAAAAAGCCGCGTCGTTTGTCGTCACCAACAGGTTGTCGATCCAAGTGTTTGCCATAGCATCGTGAGACGCCACTACATTTCGCAAAGGTAATCCTCAGATAATCAGAAGTTATTAATCACAGTGCTTAGGTGCAGACAGAGCATAGATACATACATATACAAATATATGTATTGTTCGCATAAAATATTTGTTATTGTTTTGAGGTATTTCCAGTTAGACACGCACTCAACGCACTCAAACGTGCTTGACGTTTATAAACTTATTCATATTTTGGCATAATTAGCAAATATTATAAAATAAAAATTCGTTATATAATATACATATAAACTTTTTTGTGTATACATATACATTTGAACATATATATATATATATTGTATATATGTACTCGTATGTATATATGCACAAGTGTCGAAATATGATCTGTCATGGCAACAAACTTATTTAAATAAGTAAGTTAACAGAGCTTCTTTGAAATCTCACTCTGTATTTGTGGCCCATCCATGTAACATCCAACTAAAATTAATAAATTCCGAAATCACTAAAATACGTTAACGCTTCAGGGTTGACACTAAGCCCTAGATAGAAAAAACCAATAGCTAAAAATGCTTTTGCCTTCGTCAAAAGATGATCAAAAGAATGTTATTAAAGCACTTTATACGACTTTAATGACACGAATATTAGATCACTGATATGCAACCCGAATCATCAAGTTTATTCCGATAACTCTGTTCAAATTCACTGTTTGCATTAAGGGGTTACACACACGTAGGTCTTGAAAATTCAGAAAATTAATTTTTTGATAATTTTTTGATTAAACTTCAAAGTGTCAGGAATATTTTCTCCAAGTTTCAAGTCGATCGACACGAAACTGTAGAAATTAGAGAGTTTTATAATCCGCCGTCTTTGTCAAGGCTTGACCGGTGATAAAACTTTAAGCGCGTTTTTCTTAAAACCACTTTATCGAAACTGGTAGTGAAAATTTCTCAAGGACTATTGAAACGAACGAGCTCAAATTTTCAACATTTCTTTTAAGCATATTTTTATAGTCCTTGAACGAGGAACTTCTATTATCTTTGATTTCAACTCATTTTACAAGCCAATAAGTTGCCTAATTTTATGCACAAAATGACGTTTTTGTGTAAAAAAACGCTACAACAAATTCAATTGTTAATTTTATTAATTTTTCTTCATTCAGGGACAAGAAAAATTCACCTACTTAAAGAAAAAATTTGGACTTTAATTTCCGATAAAAATTGTAAAAGTTATCATAACTACCGCGAAAGCACTTTCTTGTAGACGGTCTACTTCACGACACTGCCAACGCCTTAACTTTTACTATTTTTCATTCAAGTTTTTATGAAATGTTGTCCACATATTGTACTTTTATATGTAGATAAAGTAAAATGTATACTTCATATAGTAGCTTTTAAAAAAATTAGAGAAAATAAGCTTTTTTTTGGGCCTTCCAGATCTATGTAACCCCTTAAAAAACAAACAAACAATGGAAAATGTAAGCTAAATATTATAGTAATTATTATTAAATGTTTTAAAAACCATTGCAACCAAGGGCAGATACTGAAAGAGCCAGTTTACAACGCCATGTCTTGTGAAAGAATAGAGGAAGTAATTTTTCTTACTTTTCGATCTCCTTAAGGGGTAAAGCCACTCTAGAGGTTGAAAAATAGACTATTTTTTTTTAATTTTTTTTTTTTTAAATTTTAAATTAATATACACTGAACATATATTGTTTCGACTCGGGGTCAATTAGGGGCCGGAATTTCTCTTGATTTCCGGCAACGGGGATCGGGGGAGGTGGCGGTCCTTCAGAAAGCCGAAAACCTATCTATTGTAGTTGCCTGTTGCCAAGCTCTCAACAAAACATCGGTAGAATTAGTATAACAAAACAGTAGCATTTATTAAATTCCATTTTATTGAAAAGAGAAAACCCTGCAAAACGGCTAAAATGTCAACTCACCTCAGATGTTGCTGCTGTGGCTGCTGGATCAAAAAAAGGGCCGGCAAAACATTGGGCTTTTAAAAGTTTCCACAAAAGGTGGAAGTCCTAAACGGGACTAACTGGACTAACTGGACTTTTCCCATATATTTGAAGAATCACTTAGGTGGGAACAGAAGACAGCAGCGACATCTCTAGGTAGAAGTTATGGCTGCTGCTCAGGGTTACACGCGTAAACATATATGAAATGGCGTTGATAATGTCTTTTACTAAATTATTGTTTTTTTTTTTTTTTGAACGGCGTCCAAGGGTCAACCTATTTTTTCTAAAGGATGATACCTAAAACAGAAGGCAAAAAGTTTTATGATCTACAAACTATGGTATTTGGAAGTAGATGTGGATTTATTTTTTAACTAAATATTGTGACAGCGGCACACTTTTTTTAAAAAGATTGATTTTTGACTGAAAAATACGCACTAAATTATTAAAAAAAAAGTACTTAAAAAAAAGTACTTAAAAAAAAATACACAAAAGAAATTAATTGTGAAGCTGCCATAAGATTTCAGACAAATCGATGCTAAAGGGTGCAAATAATCTGCCCTCCCAGTTTGAAAACCGTTCTTTTTTTTTTTTGAGAAAAACTATAAACGTTTTCATTGTGCTCAGCGCAGTTCAGATTTTTGAAATATTTTTTCACCTTAAAACGAATTGCCTAGCACTTTTCGGACCCAAAAGTACTACGTGAGCAAAAAAAAAATTGTGTTTTCCCAAATCCTAGAGTGGCTCTGGACAGTTTAAAGTTTGAATGTGCAAAAAACATGCTAACGCAATCTTCACTAGTAAGAAAGTGCTTGGAAATTTTATTACAGTAGAGCAGTCCATTGCTTTTGTTGCTGTATGAATTTTTAAAATATTGAAAATATTCGTGTCTGTATGCTTCAGGACTAAAAATTGAGGATGGTCAGACGGCGGAGTATTCCATTGAAGGGCTTGAAGAAACGAGCACCACGTTACGTTACATACACATACAATATGTGTGCAAAGCTTTGCTTTATATGTACATATATATTTAAATATTTTCGTATTACACAATACTTTACTAATTTACAAACAAGCCGACAAACTAGTTCGGCAATGTCATATGCAAACGAACCACCCGAAATGTAAACAACGAAAGCGAAACCAAAACAAGAGTTGTTTTCAAGGTCTTGGACATGCGACATCAGATCAGCGGAGGTCAAGTTTATCATAAGATACCTCAGTAGAGGAAGCAGCGCAGAGAAGAGTATAAAAACACATATCATTAACGCTAGTTTAGTATCTTTTTTTTGAATATTACTATTAATGTTCAAACGAGAAATTTAACGCCGAATCACCATATAAGATTTCGTATGCAAATCATTTATTGTCGGGTTCACAGCTTTTAAGTGCCGCAGTGATTTGATTAATTTATGCAAAATTATGAAAAAAAAAATCAATTTCAACGATTTGTATGCACATGAAAAATGTAAATCATGTAAATACTCTTACGTTGTATATATATATATATATATATGTACGCTATTATGGCACTCAACTCGTTTATATCACCTCATATATAAAGTATGTATGTATGCCGTGGATCGGCAGTCACTGATCATACGTGGTACAGGTCAAATTATTTGTCGTCGTCGTAGAAGACGGACTTATTTTAATTCTAGCGTTTAATGAATTCTAATATTTAACCTTTTGTGTTGTTATTATCGTCACTTCTTTCAAAAATATATACAAATAAAAGCTATAAAATAAAGAATAAGAACAAAACAAGGTCGTTTCCGACTGTGTGAACTTTAGAGTTTTTTTTTTTCTATTCTTCTTAATTTGCATAACATGAGATAAGAAGAATTTAATACCAAATTAAAGCAAGTATAACATTTGTATATATATATTTAGTATACATATAGCAGTTAGACAGCTCTTTTCCAATAAACTGTCACTAATAATTGAACATAATTTGCACTTAACTCTCGTTTAAGAGACAGAGGTTTACGATGTCATTAGAATTATTAGATAATAAAAATGAACTGCTTATTTGTTATATGCATATATTGTCCCATTTCCGAATCGAATCCAGTTTATGATGTTCAACCGGAAAGCATGGTTTTTATGTCTTCCGTAATTTCAATATGGAGAATTATAAAAACTATATGAGCTTTAGCTAATAAGTATTTATATACAACCATAGCATGCCAATTTCATTTATATTACTGTTCCATTTGTTTGCAAATTGAATTCCCAATCTTACCATGCGCCAAAAACAATTAAAACTCAAGAATAAATAAAAATAATTATTTCTCACACGCAACCAAAGATCAAATAAAATTTTACATATATATACGTGTATGTATGTATATCACTATATTTTCTATGCCGCGGTAGCCGAGTGGCTAGCATTGCGTACTGACATGTGGAAGGCTCGAGCTCATATCCCGACGCCACCAACAGCCAAAAGTTATGGAAATTTAATTGAAATAAAAATAAGTTAAATTTTTTTTTAATTGCGGTCGCCCCTCTGCAGGGAATGTCCACCCCTCCGCAGGGAATGTCCACCCCTCCGAGTGTATTTCGGACACGAAATAAAAGCTCCTCGTAAAAAATCCATCAGCCGTACGAAGACGGCTTAGTATAAACTGTAGGTCCCACCATTTGTTGGAAAAACATCAATACGAAAAACTCTATATTGGAGAAAAATCCCTTCGGCGGTCTTCTAAGAGAGAGCTCTACTAGTATTATTTCGCGTCGTTTTCATCTGTGGCTATATTCATTTCAAAGGTCATTTCGTGTCATTTTCAGTAGATGTCATTTGTTTTAGCGTGAACAAAAATTTGGCGCAGTGGTAGAACAGTCGCCTATTAAGTCCGGATCCGTTGGTTCGATCCGTGCCATAAGAAGTCTGATGAGGAGATGTGGTGATCTCCGAAACAGCTGTCACTTCTACAATTTTTCTTTGTTGTATAACAAATATTCAATTCGTACAAAAAACAAGGCCTCGTAGCTTACTTAATAAAATTAATATATAGCATGGCCGCATTTGAAAATGTCGAAATTTGTACCAGATAAAGTGTTTTTGCGGTGAGTTCTTCTTCATTACTTTAAGATGAAGAAAAGAGCTACCGAAAACCATCGTATTTTACTGGACGTTTATGGTGACCATGCTTTAGTCGAACGAACGTGCCAAAAGTGGTATGTACGGTTTAAAAGTGGCAGTATCGACTTAGACGACGGAGAGCCAAAAAAATTTCAAGACGAAGCATGGGAGAGATTGCTCGATGCAGATGCATGCCAGACGCAAGAAGAACTTGCAAAAGTATTAGGAGTTGATCTAGCAACCGCTTGCGTATGATTAAAATTATTTTTTCACAATAAAATCTTAATTTTCGTAAATAAAATCAGACGAATTAATGCATATATAAATATATATAATCCCACCACAAGGGGTCCTTTGATCCCTTTTGAAATAAACTTTGATTTTTTCGTGAAAAAAAAGATCTTCATTTATTAAAAGAAATAAATTGCAACATCATTTCGGATTTCGTATAAAATCAAACACATATTATCATTATTATAAAAAAGAAATCTACTAATTTCATTTTTTACTTAGGATGGGTTTCTCCTTCCCACATTTCCCGCGTGCAAGGTTTTTACAAATCACGCAAGTTTGAATTGTTTGTTGTCTGACATTTTTTCCTGAATTGAGAATTATTATTCGAGCTGCTGATATTCCTTCCCATTGATTTCCCCTTTCCTCTTCGCAAATTTCGAGTTGAAACGAGACCGAATTTGTCCACACCAAAACGATGGCTTCCGTCATCAGTACCCCAGAAATCTTTAAATTTCCCCCCCTTCGAATTCCACAGCTGGTACAAGTAAATGGATAAATTGTTTCTCTGCTGAGCGCCACGCCAAAAAGCTCCAGTGAATGCATCTAATTTTTTATAGGCAGCGATAGTGACGAAACGTGCTTGTGGTTTATGACCTTGAATGTATAATTCGGAAGGTAATTTGTTCGAAACCTGAGATGACCAGCATTAGAAGTCGTCGGTTTAAGTTTATGAATATTCAGTTGTATAGCAGCAATAGCTCACAACTTTGTAATAATAATGGTATTAAAGGACTTAACTTTGCATCTTCTTCTTTACTGTCGTAGACATCGCTTACGACATTTAAGCAGAATTTATAACAATGCGCCATTTATTTTTAGTTTTCACCGTTTGGCGCCAATTGGAGATACCCAGTTCAGCCAAGTCCTTCACAACCTGATCTTTCCAAAGAAGTGAAAGCCTTCCCCTTCCTCTACTTCCACCGCATCAAAACCTTTCAAAGCTAAAGTATTTTTATCCATTCGGGCCCCATGGCCTAGCCAGCGGAGCCGCTGTTTCTGGATTCTTTGAACTATGTCAATGTCGCCGAATATCTCATACATCTCATGGTCTAATAGGCTGCAGTATTCGCCGTTCTTCACTAGTAGAGGACCATAAATCTTACTCAAAACATTTGTCTCGAAAATTTCTAACGTCGACTCATCAGATGTTGTCATCGTCCGCACCATATCGCAGAACGGGAACGATGAGGGACTTCTTGAGTTTCGTTTTCGTTCAATTGCCAGTTCAAAGTTATGACTGAAAAATGCTACTTATGAATAATTTAGATTTCGTTCTGATCATCTCGGTATATATGTATATTATTAAATACAATAAACAATATAAAAATTAATAATAATCAACACTAAAGTTATAAATAATAAGATTTAATTTTAATACAGGTTTATCATAGTCGGTTATCAAGGCGCAGTAACAGTCGCTATTGACGGTAACGTTCTCGCCGCCATCATTTTTGAAGAAATATGGATCGATGGTTCCACCGGCCCACACACCACACCACACCAAACCGTTGTGATGTGTGAATTTGTAGCTCTTGAATCTCTTCAAGTTGCTCTTCGTCCCTTCGTCGCTTGTTTCTAATTTGTAATAGTTACACTCTTTTATACATACATATCAATATGACTTTGTGAAATATTAAATAGATTTATAATATATATGTAATAATGATAGATAGATGTAGATATGTGGGATCGATAGTCATAAAGAACGTAGATAGCCAAAGAAGTTGAGTAAAAGGTTCAAAGCGTAAAAGTTCCTGCGGAAAAAATATTCCCCTTAAATTGAGTGGGACTATTTAAATTTGAATATTTTTATAATCATTCAAAAACTATTTAAATTAAAAAAAAAAAATCAGTGCTTCTTTCATTTCGCTTATTAAAGATTTTCTGTTTTTTTTTTTCTTTTTGCTTTGCATGCTGTTGTTGGGTATTTGTCTTGCAGCGCCTATGAGTCAATGCCTTTCTACATATTTTCTGAATAATTTGCAAATGCATTTTCTTCAAATGTATAAAAGTTAGAAAACGACCAAACTTGAATCATTCCAAAATCATTAAACTCAGAGCAAACATTATCAAGCTAAAGACAAGCTAAGAAGCCTATTTTATTAATAGAATGCGCGCCTTCATCGTGTTGTGTTTGTTTGCCGTTGCCTGCGCAGATAAGTTGGGCTACAATTATCGTCCTGTTGGTCATTCGGATTCCGGTCTTTCATTTGCACCAGGTGGTGGTAGTGGTGGTATTGGTGGATTTGGTGGATTTGGTGGAAATGGTGGTCTAAGTGGGGGTGATGATGCTGAGACGCGCGTTTCGCCTTCTTATTCTGCACCCGCCGCAGAGTTCGACAAAGAATTCTACACCTACACTGCAGACGAAGACGATTTCAATGAACCCGCTGGTAGCGATCAGCTCGCCAATGCATTGAAGAAGAATTTACGCGTGGTTTTCATCAAAGGACCGGAAGGTAATGGCTTGGAGAACGCTGCCATCAATCTTGCCCGACATGCTGCCGAACAGAGAACTGCTGTGTACGTTCTGCAGAAACAAGCCGATTTGGGTGATTTGGCCAACAAACTGCAGGCGCAACACGACATACAAAGCCATAAGCCAGACGTGCATTTCGTCAAGTATCGCACACCCGAAGATGCGGCTAATGCTCAGCAAGCAATTCAATCTCAATACGACCAATTGGGTGGAAATTCTCAATCGCACGATGGAGGTGCTGCACCAGTTCACGACTTTTCGTCACCTGCAGCTCGACCAGCCGCTCGCCCAGTTAGCGCGCCCGGCGCTTCATACTTGCCTTCGTCGATTATCCGTTGGTAATTTTGAATGAATTATTGTATTTACGGTATTGCCTTGTTGAAGACTGTTGTTATTATTAGTTGTTATTGCATATTCAAGTGCGAAAATATATTGTTATTCTAAAAATTTAAAATATTTTTATATATTTACAGGCATATACATACATTTTGTTCTCAATTTTTATTTCTATCATCGATGAAAGGTTTTTGAAGAATGGTTATTTAAGTACCTTACATCTTCTCGTCACTGATAACACTGTCTTAGTTGAATATTTGACAATCTGGGCACCCAACATTTATATATAATTCGAGTGGGCTGAATTCACTGGTGTTAGCCAGTTTTCAAAGTTAGCTCTAATTTCCAGAAATTTATAATTTTAGATTTTTTTTTACTTTACGGGTTCACTTGAAACTCACTGAGCCAAGGGTCTTGAGTCGTAGATTATGAAACTGGTGTTGGCTTTCCAAAACTGAAATTTTAATTTATATTGCTTTTTGTAAGCTTTTTTTAAATTTTAGCATTCGACTCGAGTTTTTTCAATTTTCATTGACTGACTGCTTTAATTTTTCCGTATCGTTATCTTCCTCTTGCAAGTTCCAACAAGGGTCAACCAAAAGAGCATGCAGCCTTTTCCCAAGTTCAACGCATTCAGCTGGTGATTGTTCAGTGACTATTTCCCCGTTGCTATGCAAAAAAATTCCGAGAATATTCTCCATGATTGCTTTCACACAATTCCAGGCCACAAGCTCTGTATCAGACAGTGCTTATTGAAATGGTTCATCCTTCATCAAACGACGAATGTCCGGCGCATTAAATATTCTTGGAAGGGAACAATACAATGGAATGACATATCATCATCATGACATATGCTCAGTACTGAAGTCCAGACAGAGTCGAATTCATACCTTTTCTTTCATTTTTTTATTGTCAACCCAATCGACCGTGGAAAAACACCGCGTAACTCATTCGCCAGCAAAGGAAGCATGTATTTTTCGTATAACTCAACTGCAAAAGGGGCACCACTGTAAGGTCCGCACAAATCCGCATATGGTGATGGCCTTTATATTAATATTTAACCGAATAGAGTATTTTTTGCAATGATGCATATGTCTATTTTTGTAACCCCAAAAATATTCCCCAAAATACTTTTTGGGAAATATTACGGGAGTGAAAGTCCTTGGCCGGATGAAAATCTAGGTCGTTCCGGTATAAAACCCCACTGTCACGGGAACTGGTGGATTTTACTCGCATCTTACAACAGTGAATTCTTCAACCCCTAACCCGTAGTGCTTATGCATAGGTATATTTTGTATTGGTGCGTAGTGCAATCCCGATGGCATTTTTTGAATTGCTAAAGTGTAATAAAACCGCCTTTAAACTAGTTTTAACGAAATCTACGAACAATTTCCAATCGTTAAGGTTCCAATCATTTTGTATCATTAAAATGAGACCGCGGTATTCAATGCAATAAGGCAGTGAATTATTTTCGATGGTCTGAAAAATTCGTAAACCGACAATGACGATTGATTATTCTCGTATATACGAACAACTAGTGTTAAAATATTCACTTGTATCATATCTACAACTGCTTTTCCAAATTCAACAAATAGGAATATTTGTTTCATATATTTTTCTGTTGGGAAATTCTTTCGAATGCGACGATGGCAAATAAGAATATAGTTTTACTGTGTATTTCAGAGAGGTCCTTTTCCTACTGTACGTCCTGGAAATGTAATTTACAGACACATAAAATTCAGCAGAGTTAGACACTTGTGGATCTATTCAAATCATTGGAAAACCAAATGGCATGGCGGCTTCATCTTTCTTCAATTTGCTCAGTTTGAAAATACACTTCGTGCTCAATCTATATACAGCCGTGGCCAAAAGTATTAGGCACTCCACTAATTACTGAATTTTTTGTTTTAACAAGTGAAATAATGAAGTTTTATTAGTAAAATAGAATGAATTAGTGATATTAACATTAATATTTAGAAGGTCCCCCCGCACTTATAGTGTACCACTCGTTAATTAAGTCACTTTTTGTGGCGTTCTGGATGATATTCTTTCCCAACCCATCGCCACATGAACGTTGTTTTCATAAGATTTGTATTATATCTTCAAAACTGCTCTAGGGTAAGATACTTTAAGACGATATCAACTGAGCTTACCTCGAATTTTGATTCATCACACCACGGAACATTCGACAAATCTTCTTCCGTGAAATTTTGGTATCGGCGAGCCACGGCTTCTTTCGAGCTTTACATTCTTTTAAGCCTGCTTCCAGTAGTCTTCTTCTACCTGTTCATGAGTTTCGAAAAATGTTTCAAAAATTCGCCCACCATATTGAATATGTCATTTTTTTATATTCGTCATCTGGCTTTTTACCCGCAGAAGAGATTTCCGACCGAGCTTCTCCTTCAGTTTGAGATTTGCATCTTGATGTTTTTTCAAGAAAGGAAGGAATCTACATTTTTTTAAGCCGCCTCTAATTACCCGATGTAATTTTATGTGGGGCCTTTAAGTTAGGTCAGAAATGCATAAGACATAAACTGTCGAGAGGTGAACGGAATTAGTTTGTTTGTTGTTAGGTATCGATCGTAATATAATATAGTGTAATATTTAAAAAGGCGAATACATACTTACAGTCCCCCACAAAAGTGATGGTACAGAAAACAAATTCTAGAAAATTGTGTTACCAGCTTTTATTAATTGAACAAAAGTAAATTTTTTCTTAACGTATTTCCATAAATAACAAATATACTTTGAATTCATGTAAACACAAAATCGAATTCCAGTACATAAGAAAAGAAATAATTTATAGTCGTTGATAAGCCATTATATTGAATCCACAAAAATCAAGGTACATCTAAAGAAAGTAATGTAAGTAGCGTAAGAAATGCAAATCTCACCTTTTTAAGTATTTTGTAGGATATGCTTTAGTTTTTATTACTGATCTCAATCTTTTAGGCATTGAATGCAACAATTTTTTGGTGAACTCGCTGCTAATGTTGCGCCGCTCCTCTAGCATAACCTACTTAAAATCCCACTTGAAATCGTTCTCTTTCTGATCTTAGTTTCAAACTCATACCAAAGAAGCTCAAACGGGCTTAAATCAGGGCTTTGGGATGGAGTAAGAAACATACGAGCATTGAACAACAACAGCATTCGAAATTTGTGAGCAGTGTGCTTAGAGTCATTGTCACGCTGAAACAAGAAGTCTTCTTGTAACCCTATCCTAAGAGCACTTTGCTTCATATTATCTTTTTGCGATTGTAATGCGCTGTTCTTTATTTGTATTACTCACAAGCGGCTTCTTCCTTGGTGTTCTAGATGAAAACCCATTCTCTACGACTGCTCGGAAATAGCAAGATCATGACCGATTTTTCTGCAGCTTACAAATGGGTTTTATTTTATTCTACGCAAAATTTTTTTCTTTTCACTGTCATTAAGTTTGTGTTTCAACTCTATTTTCACTGTTATATCGGTTAACTACTTTTTCAATTTATAACCGACTACGCGACACAATCTCCGATATTTATGAATGAGATTTTCCTTGACGTAGGCCAATTATGATTTCCCTCTCTCCAATTGTCAGCTTTCTTCAACCAAAAAAGTATTTTATTTTTATTTGATTTTACTAATAACAGCCCACTTAAATCAGCTGTACCAAGACTTTTGTGGGACGTAAGTTTAGAATTGCTAACAAAAACGTAAGCTTCTCTCTGGCGACATTTATTAAAATGAAAAATTTTATAAAAATTAAAAAGGACTTTTACTAGTTAATAATAACGCTTTCGTTATTTAGCGTTTCGATGAAAAACAATTACAAAAAAGTACAATTCACTTATACTAACTCACTGTACCTTCAGTTTTGCGGAAGACTGTACGTATATAATACCAATAAAAATTAAAAATAAAACATAAACTGCATTTAAATAAATTATATCATATAATAAAATGAAAAATATGTACATACATATATGTAAGCACAGATGAATTTGCACTTACATAATATAATATCTAATAGCACGCATAAGTCCTTGAATGACAGAACAATTTTCAAACCCCCCCAAGAAAATGAAATATAACCTCCGCACGGACATCCACAATCCATTCAAAAAATTCGGTAAATTTAAATTAATATTTTGTTGCCAATAATTATGTAGTATATTTAAATTTGCGCATTTCCATTTGCTTTGGAAACTATTATATAAGCACAAACTAATGTAAGTCTTCTGTGTACCAGCAGAGATCATTTTCATACATTTTCTGTATACGAGTAAAAATCTTATTGTGCACATCTATCCACGTTTAGTAATTGCGATCGTTAAAACACGAACAATATTTGACGACAGGGAGTACGTATCGGATTAAGGGTTTACATAGGTCTTGAAACTTCAAAAAATTCATTTTCTTGATATTTGATATTTGTATAAAAGTACGAAGTGTCAGGAATATTTTCCCAAAATTCCAAGTCGATCGAGACGAAACTGTAGAAATTACAGAGTTCCATAACCTGCCGTCTTTGTCATGGCTTGACCGAAGGCGAAACTTTAAATGCGTTTTTCTTAAAACCACTTTATCGAAATCGGTAGTCAACATTTCTCAACGACTTTTGAAGCGATCGAGTTCAATTTTTCCACACTTCTTTTAAGCAATTTTTTTTTTTAAGAACGAAGGATTTTTTTATCTTTGATTTCAATTCATTTTGCAAGCCAATATGTGGCCTAATTTTATGCAAAAAATTTACGCTACAATAAACTCAATGTTTATTTTTTTTAAATTTTCTTCGTTCAGGGACAAGGAAAATTCACCTGCTTTAAAAAAAAATTTGGTTTTTTGATTGCAGATAAAAATTGAAAAAGTATTCATGACTACCGCGAAAACACTTCCTTGTGGACGGTCTACTTCACGACACTGCCAACGCCTTAACTTACACTCTTTTTCATAAAATTTTCAACAAATGTTGTCCACATATCGAACATTTATACGGAAACAAAATAATTTGTATACTTTATTTA